GAGGTGCAGGTCGTGGAGGCGTGCAAGCCATGCACGTGGGAGACTATCAACCAGAGAATCATGGACTGCAAGGAGGAAAAGAAACGACAATGCATAAACCGGGCTTCACTGATGAACAATGGCATATGTTTGTCAAGCTAATGGAGAACTGTAAGGCCGCAAGTACAGAAGAAAAGCTCTCAGGTACGCAGCTTACTAATGAATGGATCCTCGATTCAGGTGCCTCGTACCACATGACCGGGAATAACAACATGTTGACGGAGATAGTCGGAATATCGCCGGTGGCAGTGACAATGTCGAACGGTGATATAACTAGGGCAACGCATGTAGGAAATGTCACAATCAGTGGGAGCATGAAGTTGATCAATGTTTTATTAGTCCCTGGATTAAAATGCAATTTAGTTTCTTTGGGGCAATTAATTGATAATCGAAAATGTGAGATATTTTTTACTAATGATTTATGTGTAATACAGGACCTACTTACGAGGATGCCGATTGGAGTGGGTAAACGGCGAGGTGGAGTTTATTATTTCCGTGGTCTGGAACAAGCACAAGCACTTGCTGTAGGAGGTTCGGACTCGGGAATTTTGTGGCATTCAAGGTTGGGCCATCCATCAACACAAGTTTTACGTTCGCTTGGTTATTTGAATAAAACGTTGTTGAATTCTGTCCAAAATAAAACGTGTGATGCCTGTGTAAGAGGCAAACAGACGCGTGATAGTTTTATTGCTAGTAGTACTAGAGCTGCTGAATCTTTTGAATTGATACATTGTGATATTTGGGGTCCATACCGTACTATATCTTCATGTGGTGCTCGTTATTTCTTGACTGTGGTAGATGATTTTTCTAGGGCTGTGTGGGTACACCTGATGAAAGAAAAGAGTGAAGTTAAAATTATTCTCAAACAGTTTTTTGCCATGGTTAATAGACAATTTGACAAAAATGTGAGGGTGGTTAGAAGTGACAACGGCAAAGAATTTATAGGACTCCAAGAATATTTCCTGAATAATGGGATAATTTTTCAAACATCTTGTGAATACACTCCTCAACAGAATGGAAGGGTGGAACGGAAACATAGACATATTTTGGAAATGGCTAGAACGTTGCGTTTTCATGCAAACTTGCCCATTGATTTTTGGGGGGAGTGTGTTTTGACCGCGGGGTACTTAATCAATCGCTTGCCTACACCTGTGTTAAATAATAAAAGCCCCTATGAGTTGTTATATGACAAGTTACCACTGTATAGTCAACTACGGGTTTTTGGTTGTCTTTGCTATGCCCATGTATCAAATAATAAAGGTGATAAATTTGCCCCTCGAGGTGTGAAATGCGTATTTCTGGGATATGCATATTCTCAAAAGGGGTGGAAGGTTTATGATTTGGAAAACAAACGTCACTTTGTCTCCAGGGATGTCAAATTTATTGAGAATAATTTTCCTTTTCGGGTTGAGGGGTATGCTAAGGGAAATAAGGATGATGATGGCGTTAATATGCCTACGTGGGACTCTCACATACATGGGGATGAAGAGGCAGATGTACGTGGCATGTGTGAAGAAATTGGAGTGTGTGACAATGCAGCTCGGACATGCAGTGGAGCGACCGATGAGTCTGCACATCAAGATGCGGATTCCCATACATCTTTGACCGGTGCAGTTGACTCAATGGATAGGAATAATGCGGTTACTGATACGCATGCAAATACTTCTGGGCAGAACCGAAGAAGTGAGCGTCCACGCAAAGCACCTGCTTGGCATAAGGATTATGAAGTACAAATGCACACGGTTAAAATAAACTCTCACCCCGTTGCTGCGCCTACTCTCACGGCTGAATCAGGTACTCCTTATTCACTATCTCATTATATAAAATATGATCGTTTTTCGGTTCCGCACCGAGCTTTTCTTGCAGCTATTAGTCTGACCAAGGAACCCACTAGCTATGGGGAGGCGGTACGTGATCCACGTTGGCGGGAAGCTATGAGTCGTGAGATACAAGCACTTGAACAGTTGAACGTACTGGCACTTGGGAGATTCGAGATTTGCCCCCGGGAAAAAGGGCAATTTATTGCAAATGGGTGTTCAAGATCAAATACAGAAGTGACAGATCAGTGGAGCGTTACAAGGCTCGGCTTGTTGTCTGTGGGAACCGACAAGTGCAGGGAATTGATTACAGTGAAACCTTTGCACCGGTTGCTAAGATGGTGACGGTGCGTACCATTTTAGCGGGTGCGGCCTCTTGTCACTGGGAATTACATCAGATGGATGTCGATAATGCCTTTCTTCATGGAGATCTTCATGAAGAAGTCTATATGCATCTTCCGCAGGGATACTCTGCATCATCTCCTGGTAAGGTGTGTCGTTTGCTCAGATCTCTTTATGGGCTGCGCCAGGCACCACGATGTTGGTTCTCTAAATTAACTGCATCCTTGCGGGGTTATGGTTTTACGCAATCACATGCAGATTACTCCTTGTTCACCATGCGCAGAGAAAGTCGCATCATTTGCGTGCTCATATACGTTGATGATTTGCTGATTACTGGTAATGATCGCAACATGATCAACCAATATAAGGCGCATTTGGCTGCCACATTTCCTGTCAAGGATTTGGGAATCATGAAATATTTCCTTGGCATTGAAGTTGCGAGGAATTCCACTGGGATTTTTCTTTGTCAACGAAAGTATGTACTCGATATTTTGACTGAAAGCGGGCTATCCGGGTGCAAGCCAGTTGCATTTCCTATGGTACAAAATCATCACTTACAGTCTGATTCGGGCCCTCAATTTTCTGATCCGGAACGCTATCGCAGGCTGGTTGGAAAACTTATTTATCTGACCTTGACCAGACCTGACATTAGCTATTCAGTACACATTCTTTCCCAATTTATGCAAAACCCCAGACAGGCTCATTGGGAGGCAGTGCTTCGGGTACTCAGATACCTCAAGGGACGGCCAGGACAGAAAGAAGGGTGCAAAGTCAAATTTCTCTTACTATTAACTCGCTAAAATCATTGACTACGCAAAAAGATCATGAAGCAATATCAAGTCTTTAATAATATTGTAAGTGAGGTTGTTTATAACGAGATTTACAAATATTTTTTTACATAATTTCAAAACATTTTCAAATTTAAGGTGAGTCGGGACTAGTTACGCCACTAGCGGAAGGTGGCAGGTCTCGTGCTAGGGCCAATCGCGGAGTGAGTATAGATGGAATGCTTTAAAAGAGAACTGAAATAGTAACCAAATTTTATGTCATCTCTACACACCCAATTATTCTTGTTTAAGAAAAAGAGAATTGGAGAGGGTAGTAACTAAATTACCAAAATGATGCAGTAAAGAAGAGCATGTGGGTGTAACCAGAGAATCTGCAGAAACCCATTGTTGATACTGATATGCAGTGCTTATTTGTAGTACAAACAGCCCAATACTTCAATACTCCTTTTTGACCATTTCTACTTAAATCCACTCACTGACATTTTTAATCCACTCACTGACATTTTACACAGTATCAAAGTCTGAGCAAGTACCAGCTGAAAGGGTAAAAATTCAACAACAAACTTCATTGAATGGGAGGACAAGGTAAAATGGTAAACCTACTCACATACTCGGTATTTCATTTACGGAGTATCTCTCAGACTCTTACCTCTATTTTAAAAGAAATTTAAAGAAAAGTGATATTCTTCCAAGTAAATTACATCCACATTTAAAATATTCTTTTTGCTAGAGATATAGAGTTCTAATCACAAGTGAGGTAAACTTGGAAGCCTTTCCTAAATTAGGTTGAGTGGTCGAACAATTAATGTTTGGACTGCTTTCAAACAATCGTTCAAAAATAGTATTTTGCTTAGAATATGTCACATAATTCGAGCGATTCAATTTTACTTCCCTCAAGGATTTATAGTGAGTTCTTAATTGAAAGCCTATACTTTTATTATGATAATATCAATCACACAATTCCACTTTTTTCTTAAAAAATGTGTCACACTCCTTTGTCCCAAACATAGTGGGACGGATGGAGTACTTCATACTCCGTGGTACACAATTTCTATAAAACAAAAGTGCCGCCCAAATTACTCCACTATCTCGCTAAAATTATTTACCGAGTACTCCGTATAATATAATAATGATATAAAAGCTTGTTTATTAAAAATACTTTTATAAAAGTATATAGTTTATAAATTTCATAATATTATAGTAATCAAAATCTAATCCAAATTTTATAAAATAGCAAAATTTTTGGGGACGGGGTAGTATAATACTTCTTCCGTCCCATAAAACTTGGCCAACTTTAACTTACATGTGAAATAATAAAGTGAAAACTGTGTGGTTGAGATTTTTACAGAGGAGAAAAATGATTTTAAAACAAATTTCTCACTTTAAATGGAATTATTAAACTTTTTTGCCATGGCTAAATAATAATTTTTAACAAAGTTTTATGGTGTAGATGGAGTAATAGAAGACAATTTCTTTTTGAGCTCTGATTACTCCGTAGTAGTTTTTCGCTTTTCTGCACTCTTCCTAAAGTAATTCGTATTGTCGCTTTAGTGCATGTTTGATAGACATAAGTCATTACTTTCTAACTTGTGTACTACATAGTATTAAAAAAAGTTTAAAAAAGTTTATAGTTGTATGTTTGACACAATAGTTTATAAGAGTTTTTTTCAAAGGAAAAAATCTTTTTGAGAAGCAACACTCTGAATTCCCAGTTCAACAGTCGAAAACAATTCTTAACAATGCATCGTAGATAAATTGTAGAACCAAATCACCAATAAGATCAAACAATAACTTTATTGATATTCGATGAAATATATGAAGAACAAATATCAATAAAGAAGTGTAAAGAGAGGACGTGTGTGTCTTCCTACAGAATCATGTGCGTTTTTGGTAAATTTTTCTCAACAATGTCTGCATCGCACTTATACAATGTAAAAAAACTTACCAAAAACAATTTTTTTGTCCAAATAAGAAGAAAAGTATATGGCTTATATTTATTTATGTGATAAAATGTGTGCATCGTTCACATTTTTACATTGGACATGCTCATACATCAAATTTGCTAAGTCAGCTAAAGTCAAGAGAAAAATGTTTAGTGTACATGAATTGTATACAAATTATACACAAAATCCCTTTAATTGTCTGTATTCACAGACAATTCATTCAAAGAGGAGTAAAATTTGATACCAAAACTCCTCTAATTACGTGTATAAACGAGCAATGTACAAGGAAGACAGCTCATTCCAACACACCCCACCATCTCCTGCCCTAACGTTATGCGGTAACTTTTGTTCCTGGCCCCCTGTTGCATCTGGTCGCTTTCCATTGATTTGACTTTTTTCTTTTCATAAAAATATGTGCCCAATTTAAGTTAAATATATTAAATTCAAAATAGAATTTGAACTAATGGAATGAAAGTATTTAAGACGTTTTACATTCAATTTGGCATTTTGAAAGAGACAAAATGATACAGTTAATAGTACTTGACAAAGGATAGAAGTTCTATATACGTAGAAGAATTAAAATTGTCCTTTCCAAAATTTCTACTTTTATCATCACTATGAGGCCGTTTGAATCACTGTTTTTCGGCTTATCAGACTTATTAGCCAACATTTTCACTTAACACGTAATTTTTTCTTTCGCGCACTGAAATTGTGTAATAAGCAGAAAAAGTAAGGTTGGAGTTACTTTTCTGGCTGTATTGGCTGAAGTTACTGTAGATGACCATTTTAGCTATTTTACATATAATTTTTTCTTTATTTTATTAATAAAATGTATTTTAAAAATATTTTTTCCTTAAATCAACAGAATCAGCCAATGCAGCCACTTCAGCCAGGACTTCATAAATTTCAGCAGAATCAGCCAAAACGGCCGATTTTTGTGCTACCAAACGGGCTCTATATATATACTCTTCCTCCCTAACTTACAAATTTTCCCACTTTTATTTTTCGTCCCTAACTAAAAAATCTTCTCATTTCTAAATCTTCTCATCATAACCTCAATAATTTTGAAAATAATACACTATTACAACTACTTTTGTTGGATTGATCCTTACTTCCATCACACTATTCCACTATCTTCCCACCATACCATCAATAATTTATATCCTTTTTCACTATTCTTAATCTACCTACTTTTCAAATGAGAAGATTTTAAAATTACGGAGGGAGTATCAAATTCTTACTCCCACGGTTCCTAAATAATCTTCCAAATTATTTTTTACATAATTAAGAAAGTTGAAATTGTAGAGTGAAACATTATGCAGAAGAGAGAAATATATAAAAAAAAGTTATGAACCACAAACTTTTATAGTTTTAAACAAACCCAAAAAGGTGAAACTAAATTTAATCATATCAAACTAGACTAGACTTCGATAATTATAAAATACACATGAACCAAACATTTAATACATCAGACCAGTTCAAACCAGACTACATCAGATCAACCAGACCAAAAAATTTCAATCCAATTAAAATTATATAGTCCGTAATAATTATAATAAATAGAAGAGAAGAACATTTGACAAGTAACTTAACTCATAATGAGCATACTTTGCCAATTGCCATCACCTCTAACTGATTTGGCGTGCGTTTAAATTGTGTGCATGCGGACAGTAATGGCCTTTTATGGCCGGAAATGAAGTAGCAAATGTATTGAAGAAATATCATTCCTTTAATTATTACTTTTGTAGACCGGGTAACATGGGTGTTTCCCCTGGAGAATCCAATCCATTACATGCTAATATGCCATGCTTTTCTATCACAAATATCATAACCAAGTCAATCAGTGTATAAGCCAACACTGAGACGTGTCACATCCTGGTCCACTGGTTACATGAATGGATCACTCAGGAGAAGAAAAGTATGTCTTTTTTTTAACCAAATAAGGAAATGAATTCAATTGTTGCTAAGTTCTATACCTGAGTTAGAAAAGTATGTCTTCTTCTATACCTGTTTTCGCATTCGGGATAAATGGATCGGCCCGCCCGCTCAATTGGTAGATCAAGATTTCAAGTGGCGACTGTGAGGAACCACCCGAAGTTAGACCCGTAAATCCCGTAATGATATGGCCCTGAGTTATACTGAGTTCATGCGACTTCATCATATCACACATTTTTATAATAGGGTCAGTTGTTAGGAAAGCGATGATGATTGTGAAGTCATATTAGTTTCTATGACTCCATACAAAAATCATATACGTAAAACCTTTTAACATTTATTATGTAACATAAAAGGAGTTAGTTGAGATCGATTTTCACGAAAACATAATAGTAAAAAGACAAGTTGAGATATAATTTTGTATGATACTCAGTTTAGAACCGAGTCAAGCTAGAATGTTTAGACTACCCCATATTCAACATAAGCTTGTAAAAGGGGTATAGTTGTCACTTCTCATTCATCCATCTAGGCATAACACATTTACATGTAACTGGGGAGATCAACTTAGTTCGATATATCAAGCATATACTAGTATGAGTCAATTTCAAGTGCAAGTTCAAACATGGGATACTCTGGCTCAGCTCAAACAATACGAGTCAGAAATTGGTTCAGACTTCTGAGTCAAACAACATAACTTATGGCAATTGCCTAATTGTCTGGGAAAATGAATTACTTAATTGAAATAGCTATGCACGCAAAGCTGTGGACGATACAAATACAAAGGGTCTCAATCAATTCAGCAGTAATTAATATTCATGGAGAGCCAAGGCCTATATCTTTCCATTATTTGTGAATTCTAATCATATACAAGGCATACAAATTCCATAAATCAATTGTATAGATTTGGAATTTCAATTTTTAATTGTTAGCTCAAACAACAAGATCATCAGCCTAATTCCACTTTCATGCCTGAATTTCGACATCCGAATGGGCTGCAAATGTAGAGTAAAAGGCGTACTTAGTCAAGTGCAGTTTCTTCATTTCTTTGCCTTTGCAAAACGGAGGCAACGATACTTCTCCCCACTGACTGTTATCTCTAGAGCTCCATCTTGGTTGTCTTGACCTGAAGCTGTCCCCATAAGTACACTTTTCTCTTTCTCAAGGATCTCTCTTTCCATCTTTAGTCTCGCTTCTTGTTTGGCAATCTCAGCCTGGTGTGGTGCATATGAATAAATGTCAGTCAACACTTGCAAATATATTCCGGACTATTTTCCGTAAGGCTAAGCAAAAAACTGACCAATAGCAATACTGACCAATAGCAACCAAAACTGAACAAACTGAAACGATTTAGATCATTTAGTTGGGTTTTAAACTTTTCCCATCATTTGCAATGGAGTCAAAAGACTCGCTATATTTTGGCTTGAGAATATGATGGAATAAAGCAAAATGGCTCACTAAACTGTTTGCGCTTCATTGTTATGAAGCAGCACTCAGCCCATGCAATTTTGGACACAATTTTCACTCTGGGTCATCCGAAAACAGTGTCTCTGTGCTTTAGTACAGGGGTAAGACTGCATACATCTGACACCCCCTTAACCCACCGTAGGTGGGAGCCTTTGTGGACTGGGGTAATGATGATGATGAGTTGGGTTTTAAACTTTTAATTTTTGAATAAAGTGGAAGTGGACCAACCAAACTAAATCTGGCTGTTAAACACCTATAGCTTTCAAATCCTAGGTTGGCAATAGGAAGCCCCATCCTTTCCCATTTAAAACATTCTCACTTCTGACCAATGACTAGAGAAATAGGTCATTCCAGAATTTCAATGTTTCCACTTCTAATCCGTCAAAGTTCCAATAATCCAATTACTTAGGTCATCCAAATTTTCTTTTTAGTTCATCTTTTAGAAATATTCAAATTTCAAACATCTTTTAACAAGATTCTATAGAAAGTAGAACAATCTTTGTACCCATTGTTCTAATATATTTCTGACTGTGCACCCACCTAGGTGATAGGCCCCGGGTCTACTGAGTACAGAGTACTGCCTACTACCTTTTAGCCTAATGTTTGTACCCATAAAAGCACAAGTCTGGAAAGCAAATACACAACTACGGAGTATGATATAGAAGAAATTCTACACATTGCTATGAAAAAGAAAGATGATGCGCTAGTCACCGTGTGTCATTCATATGCTGAGGCCTAGCAAAAAAATACTTTTGTACCTGCTGATGGCAATTGGCAAATGCCAAAGTAATGTGTATTATTACTAATAGGAGTAATAGCTATGATTTTAGAATTTTTAGCTAAGATATAGCTCACTGTTGGTATTCAGTTACCCATGTCTAGTTCAAAAGAGTGGAGATCACTATTGGTATTCAGTTGCCCATGTCTACTTCAAAAGAGTGGATGGGTTGAGAAGAAAATGAATGTGATAAATATAATTATGTTTGGTTCAATCTGGAAAGAAGGTGACACACTTTAAGTTTAAGAAAAAAAAAAGACAATGTATGCTTATTTTTGGTAAAATAAAGGGTGATTTTTTAACTCTCTTAAAATCCCCCAAATAGAATGATGAATTTAGAGGGTTTTTACAGTTTCTCTCCCCCCTTCAGGATAAGATTAGCAACTTTGCAACTAAACACAACGTTCATAATTTTTCTTTGTTAACTGCAACAAGTAGTTATGGGGATGTAGAAGGAAAACTGGAATGGTAACATCGTTGATAATAAAGAATATAACCCACATATCCATTGCCCAAACCAACTTTGCTCCAGAAAAAAAATGCGTTATGATATTAAAGAGTTATTATCTCTGGGAACAAGCCTCCCCAACCCCGACATTCAATGGAGTCTTAATAATCTTCCATCCCTTAGGGTTTGTTTGGAGGGATGGTCTGGATGGGAAGGATTTGGAGGGACTTTGAACATATCAGTCTCTGTAATATTTTTGAAAAGACCATCTTGGAGAAATGGAGACACATATTTTGCTGGGTTCTGAACTTATGAACAGCATTGACCCAAAATTAGTTGTGGTATAGAGTATAGTTATGGAAGTGTTGTTCCTGTGTCACATTTAGCATTTGCAAATGATATCATTAGGAGGTATTTTCTTCACGGGCTTGTTTGGTCATGGGATCTCAGAATGAAGAGAACGGAACGGGTGATTTTTATTTTTAAAATTATTTCTACTTTAGATGATTGAAAATAAATTGAAGATAAACGAGTTACATACAAATATTTGGTCGAACTAATCATTAGTTATTTCTAGTCTAAAACTAACAAATAGAGATAGATCAGTAATATAAAAACCAATCCTCTCCTCTCCTTCACAGCAATATCTGAAAATACCTGAGCCAACAAGCCCTAATGGTGCTAAGACTGCCTAAGAGGTAGGTCTATCAAAGTGCTGATGGATTTCCTCCACATATACAGTAATACTACTGGTCAAGTGGTCAACTCATCAATGCTGAAAAATCCCATTTCAAATCTAGCTAGGAAGTCTATTATAAAACTAATTTATAAGCAAGAAATGAAAATAAACTGACTTTCTTGCTACAAATCTATAGCAATAGTCTGCATCTCGAAGCACGTGGCATTTTACTTTAGAACATTTCAGGATTTATCTTATTTTGAAAAGGGTGAACAATTCAAGGTGAATATAATCAATATATAGTTGGGCTTGCCTTTCAAAAGACCACACAAATTCACACACAAATAGTATTGCACTACTTGTTAAATGTCCTGTGTCTTAACACTACTATATCAATGGAAGATGATCCTACAATACTAATTTTGTAATGGAAGAGCTACTTGCAGGGTGTTTTGAAGGAAACAGCCTCTCTACCCCTTGGGTAGATGTAAGATCTGCACACATCGCAAATTCCATAGGCCCTAGATTAAAGTTTGATGGAAGATGACTATAGGCTATAGAAACATAGAATTCCTTCATTGAAGTTTTTATTATTAAAGAATGCCAATCAAGATTTTGATTACTTGTAATTATGATCAGAAACATCTACTGATCTTCTACATCTTCAAATATCCACGCTGGGAATCTCTTTTCAGGTTGCAGATTTGGTAAATGAGCGAACAGAATGTTTTCTACACTTTTCATATGAAAGCTATAGATCCAAGAATGTTAATCCTGAACTAAATGCACGTAGGGGTACTTTCTTAAGTCATAAATCTCTATTTGGTGACACACCATCAGGCCAAGTAACTAGCAATATTTAAAAAGGAGCTTTCAAGTCTGGAGGAGTTTGCACGTTTGCATTTGTGACACGTAGGGTAAGCCTTAGACTTGATACAGAACATCCTTTTCAATTCAAAATTATTATCAATCTAAAATATATTATCAATCATACATGAAAATGAGTCATAAGGAAGTGTCATAGACCACTGTCAAATGTTTAAAATTCAACTCTATAAAGAAAAGTTTTATGGTTTAATGTGTTCAATAAAATCAGAATAAATTGTTAAAAAGAGAAACACTGGAAGAAATAGATAGAGCCTGAAATTATGATATGCTAGATCAGTTTGATTAAACAGAAAATTTTAAAGGTCTACTACTTATGTAGTTATAGTTCAAATAAATAGAAAAAAAATATTTGATGTTGTTTGAATTATTTGAACCTTGCTAAAAAGAAGAGAAGATAAGGATACGTTGGCAAATGGCTGATAGATTTTATGCTTCTGATCAGTTTAGTGACAAAATATTGAATACTAATAGATCATTAGATCCTATATGACTTGTAGTAAAAATAATAAGCCAAGAAAAACTTACATAAAAAACTAAAAACAAAAGGAATAAGCCTCACAAAAAGCCTAAATTCATCCTCTTGAGGCTTAAACTTTAGGGTTCTTTGTTGCAGTGAAGTGCTCAAAAGAGGCTTTTTAACCCACGGTTGCCATTGAACTGATTGAAGTTATATATTAATGTTGACTTGGTTATAAAAGCATCTAAATTAACCAACACTTAATTGAAGTCATGCAAGCCAGTGCGGATGCAATTGGGCGAATGGGGAGTTAAACTTTGGAAGCTTGGGGTATTTTTCACTAAAAACACTACTTTGATGTAATAATATTTTAAAGAAAGGACAAAAATAATAATAAATATAGTTTCAATCATTTGTTTATTACGGAGTATTTATTAACATAAATCATATAAAGAAATTACACCAAATAGGAGTAAACCATGCAACAAATTTAAAATTAATACTCCCTCCATCTCATTGTACTTTGCAAACTTTCTTTTTTATTTGTGCCAAAAACTTTGTCCCTTCCTCTTTCCGAGTAAATAATTTGTTGTACTACTAAATTCTCTCAAATTTGCACCATTTTTTATTTTTCTTATTTCAAATCTAATACAAACCTGTGGATGTTCAATACTTCAATAGGACGGAGGTAATACTAGGTCTAAAATTCCCAAAATGGAGTTCCTATTCCTTACCTACTTCTCCCTACTTTTATTGTTTTTTTTCTCCCTCCCTCTGATTCTGTGAAGGCCAGATATTGCCCCTTCTTCTCTTCTCCAACTTTGCAGATAGAGAAACAAAGGCTCCCACCCACCTAAGGTGGGGTAAAGGGGTCACATCTACGCAGTCTTACCCCTGTACCCTGTAAGCACAGACCCCTGGAGACTTTTTCCGGATGACCATAGTGAAAATAGCTTCCAAATAATGTAAAATAATTTTGCATCTATCTCATGTCGGAGGATTTAAAGAAGTACTCCGCAACAATATGAGGGATTACCTCGCGGCGAGAGAGCTCGGCTTTCCAGGCGGCCTCGCGCTCGGCAACCTCGCGTTCGCGTTCTTCGATGTAACTCTGCATCTCCCTCTCCTTCATAATCCGGTCTTGTATGTCCGCATCCAGCGCCTCCTTCAGTTCCTTTACGAACTTATCTACCACTGCCTTTATTCTTAGCGACATCAAAAACTGAAATACAATTCCAATCAGAATTTGATTTCTTTTCCCCTTTCTTCTGCTGCGCTGCCTCCCGGCTTTGACGAGAGCAGCGGAACAGCGATAAAGCCCTCTACCTTCAGTTTGGATGCATATACGGAGGGCGACAGTGACACTGAAAATTTCACTCTCTACTCTCTTCCTCTTGAACTTTCGAGCTTCGAGGTTCTTACTCGAGTGGAACCATTATGAAATTTCTTACGGAGTATATAAAAAGGGGGTTTGTGCTCAAATAATACACTTACCAAGCTCAAACCCACTAATCCACTGACCAATTGCTACAGTAATCCGTCACAGTGACCAATTGTGCAGTGACAAATGTTAGATAGGCATCATGAAGAAAGTTACTTGTCATCATTGTAGCAAGAATAGGACGTCTACTTCAAGTGTTTCAAAACATAAAAAAATACATTGAGTTCGCATTTATAGATATAAAAAACATAATTACATTCTATTAATTCATAATAAATCTAATAATTAGAAATATCATGAAAATAGTAAAGTAAAATGTGTGCAATTACAAGTTATTTGGGTTATTTTTCATTTATAAAATTTATGTGATGGAACAAAACTTGATTTGTAGAAAGGAGTTTAATGTATTATATCAACCTCATGTACAATATTTATTACTTCGCTTTCGTTGATTAAATTAGAATTGTTAGTTAAATATCTTATATTGTTTTATTATTATCGTTGTGGTGGTGGTTATTATTGCTATTATATTATTATTATTGTTGTTACTACTACTAGTACTACTAATATTATTATTATTACGATAGTATTTTTTTAATAACGGTTCATTAACGGTTCTATGCACATATTTTTTATAGGAACCAAGAACCGAACCGTTATAACTCGCTTCGGTTCGGTTCCTACAAATAAGGTATTAATTGTTAACGGTTCCAATCGGTTCCACGGTTCCCGGTTCCAAAATCTCACTCCTTTTAACTTTAATTAATTAGCCATCTTTTGTATATGTGCACAAAAAGACTTATATGTGTACAAACAATTTATATTGTGGACAAATAAGGTATGTGAAAGATATACACAAAAAGATGTTCATGATGCATTGTTGTTTGAAATTTATTTCATTATAATTATGGAGTATAATATTGTCATTTATATCTGTCATTTTTTCTACGGAGTATACTATTCAGTGAAACTATATTAAAGAAAAAGTACCGGTATAAATATTGAGGGAGTGTTTGCGATTGTTTATCATTCTCAAAAGTAATTTATTTAAGAGATTATTGAAAACAATATTTCCCTATAATTATGGAGTATAACATTGTCATTTATATATGCTTATTTAAAAATGTTATATTTGAGAGCTTCTCTCTCTAGGCGGTCATCTTCCCTAGGTTTAGGGTTGTTGTTTTCCACTTTCGTCTTCGACAAAGTGCGGCTTTCTTGTGCGGCTTTTGTCCGCTTTTCGTGAGGCCCTCTTCTTCGACAAACCGCAACGCCTATATGACGGCCAAAGGTTGTGTACCCCTAGCAGAAGGTGGAGAGTTTCGAGGATGTTGTTCATGATTGAGATGAGAAGGTTATGGACGAAGCGTGAGACTAGGGGCTAGAACAGATATGGATCAGAGGCAAGGAGCGGAAGAAGCTACGGTACTGCTGGACCGTCCCTCTCCTGAACCGTTGTCATGGAGTGCAGGAGAATTTAGGGTTTGGAAGCAGCATTTTAATTTTACTGTTTGTTTGCTATTTATTTGTCATGATCAGACTGTTTATTTTTTTGTTGGTTACTTTTATTGTTGTAAGACTCTTGCATTTGGATTGGGTGATAGGAGGTCTGCTTTAACCATCGTTGACTCATTTATGCCCATTATAGGATCAACGAGGGCTGACGGTTGCCTGTGGTCCTTTTGTCATTTTACCACCTATCTGAATGTTGCATGTAATATCAATTTAACTCATTCGTTTTGACGATAAAAAATACATTGTCATTTATATCTGTCATGTTTTCTATCATATTTAGTGAAACTATATTAGATAAAAAGCATTAATATAATAATGAGGGAGTGTTTGTGATTGTTTGTCCTTCTCCAAAGTAATTTATTTAAGAAATTATTGAGGAAAAAATGATTATAGTAAAAATAGATAATGTTTGGAAATATAAGTGATTCTAACTAAAATGTAAAATTGGAGTGTTTGAGAAAAATGATATTTGATGCAATATGTTGTCAAAATATAAAAACAAAAATGATACTTGTGACCCCAAAAAATGAATTTTATGTGCATAGACAATGCGGGGTCACAAACAATTCCCTTTTACAAAAATAAAAATCAATTATATGTACATAGACAATTAGACCTAGGCGTGTAACAGGGCGTGTAAACCGACGTGTAGAAGTAGCATTTTTGAATATTAAAATACCCTTATAAAAATTAAATGGTGAATACACAAAGGGCTTATGGACTTCATTGACTCCGATCAAATGGCACATAAGATAGCAGCTTTGGGCAATGACATCTAATACTTGACGTTTTCTCCAGGCGACATTCGAGGTTCATCAATGCATGTGTCGGTGAATCCTCCTCGATTCGATTCGGCTACCTCACAGTCAAGGCCGCAGAAGAACAGATTTGGAACCAAACGACATTGACTAAACAAGATTCGACTCCCAACAATGGGGAGAGTGTCATTTCAGAGAGGGAGGCACAACACGGCACATGATGATTCGGCATAGCATGGAGGCCGCTATAAATTAGGAAGGGATAACGTCGGTTTGACGGATGTAAACTAAAAAAAATGCTGCATGGGTAGCTCAAGGGTTGTTGAGTGAGGTTGTCAGGTTGAAGTCTCAGATTCAAGGAGTCGTTTCATCCCATGTAATGGTTTCTTATGTGCACCAGACTTTGAACCATCTTATTAAGAAACTGTTTGAGATAATACTGTGATTTACAAATTCACCATTATGTTCGGTCGGGTGTGAGGGCGCTCAGGTAGGCGATTCCACCTTTTGTTGGGGTGAGCATAAATATAAAGCTAAAGAATGGACATTAAACTTGAGCAACCTAAACAAATAATTAAGACATTGAGCCATATTCTTTAGTGCATACTGACACGTTAGAGAGCTCAAAAAATGAACTAGATGCTCCAGCATCTAAAGTTGATAAAGTTATGGGGCCAAATATTGGTCCAGATATTAGGTGATGTTCTTTACATAAATCTTCCAAGAGTTTAAGTATTCTTGAGGAAGTGAGTGAGAGTGAGAGTAGAAGTTCCGGTGATTTGAGTAGGACATTGTCATCAGATCAATCAATTGGAAAAGATTTCACTGTGAAGAATCTTTTTGTACAAGGCAATATGTCTGAAGGCGATGATGCAAGCGATTACAGAGGTTTGGAAAGTGAATCTTCCAAATCTGGGGGAGTGTCAGACTCCACAATTCATAAGCAACCAACCAACTCGGTGTCTAGAGAAAGATTTATTTTTGGCTCATTTGTTTCGTCTTGCTTGTTCTCATAAAGGGCCTATATCTGATGCAATGCCTGGAATTGATAAAAATAATATTGATAGGAGAAAAATATGAAGTGCGTGAGAAATTTTTATAAAAGCATAGTGCTTCACACGTATATATATGTGTGTGTGTGTGTGTGTGTACCTATAAGGAGTCCAACTAGTTAGCTTCTCACCAAAAAAGAGATGGTGTGTATGGCCCATGCAAGTTGCTAGGAAGCAAATAAGAACATGCACTATACACGCATATACAATTAATAAATAAGATTCAATGTATTTGTTTGCATTTCTCAATACTCCCCCTCAAGGTGGAGTGTGAAGGTTACGAACACCCAACTTGCGCTGAAGAAATTGAAAACGATTGGTTCCAAGTGCTTTAGTAAAGATGTCTGCGACTTGATTTTCTGTGGAAATTGAGCATGGTTGAATTTCATTACTAGTCACCCTTTCTCACACAAAGAAACAGTCAATTTCAACATGCTTAGTGCGTTCATGAAACACCGGGTCAAGGGCGATGTGCCGTGTAGCTTGATTGTCACAATAAAGGGGCGTGGTACGGTGGTACCCCTTTGGAGAACTGTGAGGTCCCGAAGTAGCCACTGCAACCATAAGATCTCACTAAACCGTAATGGCCATATCACGATATTCTGCTTTAGCGGAAGAGCGAGAAACGACAGATTGCTTCTTTGTTCGCCGGGATATTGGCGAATTTCCAAGCGTGATGAAATAACCAATGCTGGAGCAACGAGTGAAGGAACATCCTGCGCAATCGGCATCACAATAACCTTGTAAGGTATAGTCATCATTAGATAATAGGAATATGCCCTGTCCTGGTGTTTGTTTCAAGTAACGGAGTATTCGTATGGCTGCATCGAGATGAGTTTGTCGAGGATTAGCGAGAAATTGGCTGAGCTGACTAACGGAGTAAACAATGTCCAGGCGAGTAACTGTAAGATATAGTAGGCGCCCAATAAGGCGGCGATAAGAAGAGGCTTCCACTAGTGGGCTATCATCATCTGGACGAAGCTTTAAATTTTGCTCCATGGGAAAAGAACATGGACGGTTGGCGAGAAGACCACTTTCTTCAAAAATGTCCAGGGTGTATTTTCGCTGGCTTAAGACAAAGCCTTCAGAAGAACGAGCAACTTCGATTCCAAGAAAATATTTCAATTTACCTAAGTCTTTAATGGTAAACTCGGTATCCAAGTACTCTTTGACCACGTCAATGTGAGTCGTGTCATTTCCGGCTAGGATAACATCATCTACGTATATAAGGGCAAAAGTGGTAATTGAGTTCTGTCGGAAAATGAATAGTGAGTGATCTGCTTGGGATTGGCAGAATCCAATTTTAATGAGAGCCTGAGTGAATTTGTGATACCAATTGTGCGATGCCTGGCGTAATCCATACATAGATTTTTGTAATTTGCAAACGCGAGTGTCACCTATTTTTATAAAACCTTGTGGCATACGCATGTACACATCTTCCAAAATATCCCCATGAAGAAAAGCATTGTTGACGTCCAATTGGTGTACTACCCACTGGCGTTTGGCCGCGACAGCTAATATACATCGTACATTAACGAGTTTGGCAACTGGGGCAAAAGTTTCATGAAAATCAACTCCTTCAACTTGAGTAAAACCCCTAGCCTCCAATCCAGCTTTGTACCGCTCCACATCTCCGTTGAGTTTATATTTAAATTTATAAACTCATTTAGAATCAACACTCCTTTTCCCGGGTGGTG